ATTGTTGCTTCAAATTTGTACAAATAACCCATTTCAGTGTCCTGGTAAATACCATTAATTCTAATCTGTATATTTAATATGGAATCATTGTTGTGAATGCTTTCAGTCATTCTAAATAAAATGGAAATATTTTTATTAAGGACAAATTTTGGCTTTAGAACCCTCAAATGAAAGGATTGTCTGGATGTATTAGACCCTTGATTTTATATTAATCAATTTTTATAGCAATGCTATCTATATAAGGTGGATATCACTGTCTTTTCATAAATGAGGACATTGATGTCTAGCTAAGCTGAATAACTCTCAGTGGTCGTGTAGCTAGTGAGGGCTCAGCTGAGGTTGTCCCGAGGTCTGACCCCCAGTGCCTCTTGGTCGGTGCCGCCCTGCAGTCCTCCAGGTCTGCACTGACAGCCCTGCCAGTTGGAGCAGGGCTAGTGGGGAGATTCCTGCTTTCTGAGATCCGACGTTCTCTGACAGCAAATGAAATGTAAAATACGGTTTACTCCGCAATCTGTTTTTAGCTTTATGTTTTCTAGAGTAATATTCTAGCCATTTAGTTTTTATGGCATTGCTTTTTTCAGTCCAGTTTATAGCATTTTAAAGGTTGGCAGTTGGCTTGTACCTATTTTTCAAAATGAGAATAGTGCTGACAATTAGATTGCAGTTCATGGTAATTTATTTTAAATTTTCTTGAATGTTTAACATTCACATTACATTACATCCCATTTTAAAAATGTATATATGCGTATTATTATTTTTAAATATGTTTTTATTGATTTTTTTAGAGAGAGAGGAAGGGAGAGGGAGAGAGAAATAGAAACATCGATGTCAGAGAGAAACATCGATGTCAGAGAGAAACATCGATTGGCTACTTCCTGCATGCTCCCCACCGGGGATTGAGCCCACAGCCTGGGCACGTGCCTTGACCGGGAATTGAACCAGGGATCTCTTGATACATGGGATGATACTTATTTCACTGAGCCACACCAGCCTGGCTATGCTTGTTATTTTAATATGTGTATCTTGTAATTAAATTTTTAATAGATAATATGTTTATTTGGCTTTTAACTTAAAGAGGTAGAAAATAATAACAACTGCTAACTCGGCCTACATAGCACTTACTGTGTACCAGGTGTTCATTCTTCTAAGCATTTTTAATCTATGAATTTAATGCTCCTCATAGTGGGGCAGTAGATACTACTGTTTTCCCCGTTTTCCAAATGAGCCAACTGAGCAAGAGAGGTCTAGTATAGCGTACCAAGCTGGTCTGGGTTTTGTCCTTTGTCCAGTCAAGTGTCACTGCCTTTGGAAAGCCTCCTACGAACATCCCTCTCCCTTCTCTGGGCTGGATTCGGTGCTTCCAGGCATCTGTGCACTTTTCTTCTGCTGACTATTACAGTTCTCTCATTCCCTCCTTCCACTGAATCTTCCCCAAGGCGGGTGTCCTGTTTTACACTTTGGGGCGGACCCAGCACTTAGCACACTTTTTGGCCCTTGCTAAGTACTTCATAAACACTGTTTGGCCAGGACAAATGTTCCCATTTTAAAAATGGGTATATCTGCTCTGCCTTCTACACAGAATTATTCAGGAAATCAAATGAGAGTTCACAGCTGCTTGTTAGCTTCAGAGCGCTACACAAATAGATACTACACCGATTGTGGAGCGCCCTGCAGATGCTAACGCAGACTTGTGCGTTCACAGCCCCTAGGGATTAGCCCGGGGCTTGGCACCGGACAGATGGGATCTTGACAAAATCCAGCGTGTCGCTGAGTTCTGGCCAGCCTAGTTTTACTCAGTAGTCTCAACGATTTCAATTGATTTTCGTATGATCTGATCACATGCTTTTTTTGTTGTTGCTGCTGTACAGAAGGCAGAGAAAAGTGTTTATGTCCTGATATTTAAATACTGCAGACTCATCCTATCGAGATTCCGCGACTGGTTTTGCTCTCTAATTCAGTGTTTCTCAGTATTGGCAACATGTGAGAATCACAGAATTGTTGTTTTGCTTTATTTCTTAACTGAAGATTCTTAGGCTCTGCTTTCGACTTACGGAGTCGGAACTCGGGGTGGGAGGGAGCGATCAGCACAGACGACTTTGATGAGCCTCAGGGAATGAGATATATCCCAAATATGTTCTAAATACTGCCTGAAAAGGTGGCTTAATGTCGCCACAGATATTTTAAATAAGAGACGCAGTTGTTTCTTACTTAATAGCTCTCGAGAGCGCTGACATTTGTTTTGTTCCTCTGCGGTACATTTTACAGTCCATTTGTGCTGGTGAGTTCAGTGGGTGCTCTAATTACTCCAAACCATGTGGCCATAGCAGGCAGCTGATAAATGGGTTGCAGTTTTTCTCCAGCCTGAAGAATCATCTTCGTCTCGCTCGGAAGAAGTCTGGGGCCTTGAGCCGATCTTCACTTATTTTGTTTTTAACAGAACCTTCAGCTTTGTATGTGGACATTTCATGACTTGCTTGTAGAAACGAGGGGCCGTCTCTCCAGGCTGGAGCCTTGAAGAGGCCGTCAGTGTCCATAGAGGTGGTCAGCCGTCCCCTCTGCTAGTCTGGTCTGAGTGTGCTCTCCGCCCCCAGGAGCACACCATACCTGCAGGCAGAGCTCCCCTCAGAGGAGACAGCCCCCGGTGAGCTGATGTCCAGCTCTTGTCAAAAGCTTCATTACTCAGAATTGTTGGGAAGACATGCAGTTTAACGATTTTATTCTAGAGTTATTCCTGTATCAAGCTGAGCCATTAGAAACCTGTTTAAAAATATCTTATCTTTCTGTCCCTACTTTATTTCCTCATTTATGGAAGAGAGCTGAGTTTCCAGTCACACACCCTGGGGGTTTCTCCGACAGTCTCATTATCCAGCAGACCACTGCTATGGATAATCGAGAGTTTGCTTTTAATTTAGTCAGTGTAACACCGTCCAGTGTGCCGAGACATTAACATGGGGCAGGTTGGAAAAATTGATTCCCTCCTTTTGTCTATATAGATGACATTAAATACTAATTTTTGTTAAGTGGGTTTACTATACAGAGGAGAAATGTGCCACATTCTTCTAATTATTTTACAATACTTCGCATGTCTCTACATCTTTTATACTATCGACTCTCAATTATGGCTTGTTTCTCCTAACAAAATGAGCTATTTGTTCTTTCATCGGAAAAAATATTCACTTGATGATTGATTTTATGAGTCATTTTCTTATTCTAACTAAAAACGTGTACATTAAAAAAATGAGACTTGTCTACAATTTGTAATGGAACGTCTGGGTACCTTTACAAGCAGGGGAAGATTCGTTATAACATTTTTATTTCACTTATTTTACGTCAAGAATGCATCAGTGTCAGACACCCAAAGGACAGCTCAGTAGATGGGGATTTATTTGTTTTCACAAATCTCTTGGTGTGGGCAGTGGAGAGCTGACGCCTCCAGGGAACATGGTTCTTTCTGTTTTTTAACTCACTCGGGCCTCCTTAGAGTACGTGGATCTATTCCTGGGCTTTCATCCCAAGGATCCGAACAGTCTCAAGTGGCTTCTGTGCATCGTTGTTTCCCAGGAAGATGGGAAGGCAAGGGGTGTTTCTCCACAGCTTTTCCCTCTACTATCCCACCCCAAGCCAGGAATTATTTATTTTATTGGCTAGAACTCTGACATATGGTCCCTCCCACCTGCAAGCAAAATGCGAAAATAGTACTTTTACTTTCGACCTGACAGCAGGAGAGACAAAGAAAAGGCCTGTGACTTGTTCCTTTCACAGTCTCTGCCAGAAGTGTCCTTATTGAAAGTGGACCAGTGCATTTTGCAGTCTGCCTTCAGTGTGGCTGCTGTTCCCAGTTAGGATTTAACTTAGGAATTCAGGGCACGTTTATTCTGTATCTGTTCACATAGATATTTCATGTTTTGAGGTATATAGTAATTATATTTCTAATGTGTTGAGATTATTTATTTGATAAACCTAATTCCCAAGGCCTTATGACTAGACAATGTGTTGCAACTTTTCATGCTTTTAAAGCAGACTATGTAGCTCCTTGAATAATTTCTAACCTTGGTGAGACAAACCAACATGGTATGGTGGCTGTCGGTGTTGAACAAAAGGCAGTTTTCAAGCCAAAACAGCCTTTTCAAAATCTGATCGAGGAAAGAGGAACGTAATAAAATATTGGAAATGAGATAACATTTTAAGATAAGTAATGCCTTTGTTTGAAAGTAAATGGGAAAACTAATGCCACAGGACAGAGGTAACATCCTGTAGTAAAACAGGAGGAGGGGACGGGTGGCCTGGGTTTCCGCCCCTTTCTACTGTGTGCAGCTGTGCTTTCCACGCTGCTGTGACTTCGTGAGCCTTGACCTGCCCTTCTTGTATGTGAATAGTAATGGTAGCAACCTTACAGTGCCATTTGGCTCCCCCCTAGAAAACTAGGGGCACATGGTGATAAAGGTAAAAAAGGGCCCAACTTTTATTTGCTTTTTGAAATATGTTTTTATTGATTTTTTAGAGAGAGAGGAAGGGAGAGAGAGATAGAAACATCCATGTCAGAGAGAAACATCTATCGGCTGCCTCCTGCATGCCACCTACTAGAGATTGCGCCCACAACCCAGGCATGTGCCCTGACCGGGAATCAAACCAGGACCTCTCAGTCCACAGGACGATGCTCAATCCGTTGAGCTACACTAGCTCGGCAAAAATGTGCCCAACTTTTGAAAGCCAGGCATATGTAGCTCAAGGTCTGTGCCCTACTCAACTTCTGTTTCGGTGCAAGAAGCCCGTACTTTATAAGTAGCCCAACTGTCGAGCTTGGAATGGCACCTCAGCATGTACAGGGAGTGATTAGCTGACATATGAAAACTGCGCCATGCATTTTTTAATGAGTCCTTTAATTCCATATACATGTGTGTTGTCAAGTTTAGTAGGATGTATTGGGTTTTAGAGAATATACTTGTACTTTTAAAATTTATATTTCTGTTTATCATTTGTTATATTTTTCTTCAAACTAGGATTTCAAGAGTGGACTTGGAATTACCATAATTCCCATGAATGTAGCAAATGTAAAGCAAGTGGACCGAACTGTGAAACACTCGTTTGAAATAATCACGCCCTACCGGAGTTTCAGGTGAGCTGCATTTAAGCTGTGTGTTTGTACTAGCAGGGGAACGCTTGGGGGAGCCACTTTACCTTGCTGGTGGTGACTCCACTTCTTACAGGACATTTGCCAAAACGTTGTGTTTACTTTTCATACTGTTTAGTTTCTTAACCAGTGTATGTGAGCACCTTGTGAAAGTGACTTGAATAATCACAAAACCTGCAGATACTAATTTCATGAAATTTGAGGGTTTTTTTTAATACCTCTTTTTCTTAGTAGGCTTAGTGAGTCTATTCGTTTTTGTTATTAAGAAATTTTGGAAAAGTTTACATTTTGAAGGAGTAAAATAAAAAGGGAATATTACATTGTCTTTAAGCTGTGTTGTTGTTTACCTTCTTTTAGGCTAGTCAAGCACAGTGTCCCTGCTTTCAAATCCATCCTAATTATATATGCTCTGTAATGATTTCCCAGAAGGACTTCCACCTTAAAATGATGTTGAATTTAATGGACCTCCTGGCATTTACTGATCAAATATTTTAGCACTTTGTTATATATCTTATATTATAGTATTTTGTAATTGTTCCTTATGACAGTGAAACGGAGAACTGAATATATATTCTTAATATGTGTGAGAATAATCGATACTGACTCCATAGCTTTAGTATACAGAAGGGGCATAAGTCAGTATCTGTTGAGTTCAGCCACAGTAATTCATCTGTCACAAATAATCAACATACCCCAGGGTGGTATAAAGGTCAGAGGCTATTGTCAGAGGCCTTTAAGGACTAACAATTACTTAGCAATTTCAAAAATACTATCAAGTCTAGTACTCAATTTATCTGTCAAAACGTGTCTCCTGGCTCACATTTTAACAACAAAAAAGACACAGAATAATAAGCTTTATTTTCACATATGTAGATTCATGCTTCAACAGAAAATATAGACATTGGCTGAATTGTTTTTACTCACAACACCTCTGACACCAGATACGCGGGGTTTTCCTCACACCATTCAGTCCTCCGCGTCTCTGGGCACCCGCTGGGTGTCCTGCAGTTCCGCTCTAGTCTGCCGAACCGAACCAGAGTGAGCCTCAGGCCCCGCCTCCTGCAGTCCCACAGGACACCAGTTCCCAGTATTGGGTCCTCAGTACCCACACTTCTGCACAAATTGACTATAAATCGGGATTCCCATCCCCCCCTCTCCCCCAGGTTTGATAAGTCACTAGCACTGTTCACAGAACTCAGGGAAACAGTTTAATTATTATAACCCGTTTATTATAAGAACGCAACTCGAGAAAGGCCTGATGGCTGAGCTGCATAGGGCAGGCTCCACGGGATGCGGGCGAAGAGCGTCCCTGCCCTCTCTGAGGGCACCACCTCCAGCACCCCAGTGTGCCCACCAGCCTGGGACCTCGCGGAACCTGTGGTTTGGGGGTTTTTATGGAGATTTCATTCTGTAGGCATGATTATTACATTCATGGTGATTTAGTCAGAGGTCAGGGGTGCGGCTGGTTGGAAGTTGCAGCTCTAAGCACACCTTGGTCTTGCTGGTGCCCAGCTCCAGTGTGGCCCCACGTCGATCATGCCAGTGGTTTTAGAGCTGAGCACTAGGAACTGGAGGCAAATACCTATCATCTACTTTCCATTGTACCCTATTGGCTGTGACCAGTCTCTGTGCAGAAACAGAAACCACTAAGAAATTGATAGATATTATAGTGATAGAACCATAAAGAACCTCAACAAATATCCACGTAGGCCACTCAGTTATCTGACAGATTGTTTAGAATACTATGTTAGTTATCTGTTATTCTCAGTATATTCAAAGCATTCTCATCTTCAGATCAGGAAATGTTAATGCACAGCGTTCTTCCGTGGGCCACTGACTGAGCATGGAGCACTCTGGTACCTTAATAAGTACTCAGTGAATATTTCTTAAAGGAGTTTCAGGCACTGATGTTTAATTCCTCATTCTTTCACCCAGGCACTCAGTAGACACTAAGAACTAGAACAAATCAAAACATGGCTGAAAGTGAGTTAAAATTCTGCTAGAATAGTAATCACTGAAAACGTTTTTGATTTCTTCATTTCTTAAAGCCATCTGTACATTCTTCTAATTTAAAAAAGAATCTATTTTTATTACTAAAAAATTAAAATTTTGGGTGGGTGTCTTTGGAAGTTTAGTTTCTGACTATCGGGACATTCTTTCTTGGTGAAATAATCCTCGAATAGTTTAGTTTCTGACTATCGGGACATTCTTGGTGAAATAATCCTCGAATAGTTTAGTTTCTGACTATCGGGACATTCTTGGTTTAATAATCCTCGAATAGTTTAGTTTCTGACTATCGGGACATTCTTTCTTGGCAAAATAATCCTCGAATAGTTTAGTTTCTGACTATCGGGGCATTCTTTCTTGGTGAAATAATCCTCGAATAGTTTAGTTTCTGACTATCGGGGCATTCTTTCTTGGTGAAATAATCCTCGAATAGTTTAGTTTCTGACTATCGGGGCATTCATTCTTGGTGAAATAATCCTCGAATAGTTTAGTTTCTGACTATCGGGACATTCTTGGTTTAATAATCCTCGAATAGTTTAGTTTCTGACTATCGGGACATTCTTGGTTTAATAATCCTTGAATAGTTTAGTTTCTGACTATCGGGACATTCTTTCTTGGCAAAATAATCCTCGAATAGTTTAGTTTCTGACTATCGGGGCATTCTTTCTTGGTGAAATAATCCTCGAATAGTTTAGTTTCTGACTATCGGGACATTCTTTATTGGCAAAATAATCCTCGAATAGTTTAGTTTCTGACTATCAGGGCATCCTTTCTTGGTTTAATAATCCTCGAATAGTTTAGTTTCTGACTATCAGGGCATCCTTTCTTGGTGAAATAATCCTCGAATAGTTTAGTTTCTGACTACGGGGCATTTTTTCTTGGTGAAATAATCCTGAAGTTCGAAACTCTGCCAGTCTCCCATTGATCATTATATAACCACCACTTAGGAACCAGGTCCTCTCACTGAAGCTTTGGACTTAACAGAGATGTTTATATCCTGGTCAGAAAAATGAATATGTTTATTTTGCTTCAAGATATGTAAACAAAGTCATAAGCAATGGGAAAAATCAAAGGAAAAGAATAGATTTCTAAATCAGATGATTTTTAACAGACGTGCCTATGCCACTGCCTGTAAGGCATGTTTTTCAGCTGCTGTTTCATGTGTGAAATGAATAGGCAAACTAAACATACTGCTCAATTGGCCTTTACAAGGGAGACCGATAATGCAAACGCTCATCGTTTCAGCTTTGTGGCCGAGTCTGAGAAGGAGAAGCAGGAGTGGATTGAAGCTGTGCAGCAGTCGATAGCAGAAACTCTCTCTGATTATGAAGTAGCTGAGAAGATTTGGTTCAACGAGTCCAACAGGAGCTGTGCCGATTGCAGAGCCCCGGACCCTGACTGGGCGTCCATCAACCTCTGTGTTGTCATCTGTAAGAAGTGTGCAGGTGATTGGTGATAAGTTGTGCTCATCCCTGTTCGGCGGCAGATTGGCAGCAAGTGCTCTTTATTGTCCTGTATAATGAGTCCCAGCTTATGGTTGTGGAAAATAAAAAACAGAGAAAGCTTATTACATTTAAATCAATTTTAGAAATGTAATTTTAAACTTCTCTTATGCATGACTTAGATATCAAAATTGATTTTTAAGCATGTAATCATTTTTTTGTGCCTACTGGTCTATGTGTGGATTTTTAAAAGACAGCGTCGACATTTTTAGATTTTAGGTGAGTGCGTGTCAGCATGCACCCTGAACATGCTTGCTCTTTGTATGGTTTGTTCATTTCTCCTCAGTCATATTTTGTAAATCCTGGTTTTCACATCAAGATTGTTCTGAGCTCTAAACTCCATGCACCAGATCTGGTACCTGGTATAGTGAGAATTTTTTATGCAGAAGCATTTTCCAAGCGCACTGATGTTTATGGAAGTAACCACTGCCATGACTGGTTTTCCTTTGGTGACCTTACACCTTTGAGAGTGACAGCTCAGTGTATTGGGGGCCCAGACAGTTATCCAGGGAGTGCAGTCAGTGGACCCCAGCTCAGGTATGTAATTGTGGAGATCTTGGAGAAAGTTAGCCCCAACCCAAACTTCCCTTCATCTTTCTGCTCTACTAGGTACCATGCTGGTCCTAGGAATTCAAGAGTGTAAGACGTGACATTTCCTGCAGTAACAGATGGATAGTAATTACAGTGAAGGAAGATACACCAGAGTAGAGGACAGGCTTCCCTGGGAGACACAGAGGAGGAGCTCTTAAGTCAGCGAGAGCCCAGACAGGGACAGTCGCGTCCAACCCTGATCCTCTCCTGGAGCGCCACGCTGCCGCGGTTCTCATCACGCAGACTGTCCCTTTTTCCTTTCATACACAAATACTTTCAAGAGGAGTAATTTGCACAGATTTTGTTCATTTCTGTAACTTCCCAGTTTTCCTCCAGCATCTATAATCAGCCTTCTTTTCTCTCTACTCCAGTAAAAACATTTTCATCACGTTTACCAGTGTATGTTACCTCTCAGTTTCTGTGGTCTTTCCTGTCTTTATCGTCTTCTGCACTTAACACTCGTGATCAGTCTGTCACTGTATGACTTCCCATCCTCCCTCAGCTTCCAGGAGACCATTCCTCTTGGTGTTCTCTTCCCACTCTGGCCATCCTTTAAAACATCTGTCTTTCCTTGGGCTCATGCCGCTTCCACTGTGATGTTTCTGAGGGATGATGTTTATCATTTGAATTCACTCATTTTTATGCAGACGACCTTTTGGAAATCACACTTTTTTTTTTTAATATCCTCACCTGAGGGCATTTCAGCATAGAGTGAGAGGGAGAGAGAGAGGAAGAGTGAGAGAGAAACATCGAGGTGAGAGAGACACATCGACTGGTTGCCACCCACATGACCCCAACCGGGACCTGGGACAAGCTGCAACCGAGTTACGTGCCCTTAGCGGGAACCAAACCCGGGCCTCTCTGTTCTGCAGGCCAACACTCTTAACTGCTGAGCCAAACTGGCCAGGGCTTTTTTATTTTTTTATGTTTTTATTGAGATTTTAGAGAGAGGGGAAGGGAGAGTGAGATAGAAACATCCATGTGAGAGAAAAACATCCACTGGCTGCCTCTTGCTCGCTCCCTACTGGGGATCGAGCCTGTAACCCAGGCATGTGCCCTGACTGGGAATCGAATCGAGACCTCTCAGTCCATGGGACGATGCTCAATTCAATGAGCCACTCTGGCCGGGCTGGAAACCACACGCTTATGTCTGCCTACTAGAATCTCTGCTTGGATTTGCTCAAGATCCTTCAACAGTAACATGTTAAAAGGGAGCGCTCATTGGTGCCCAGGTCATTGCATAAAACTGCACCTTCTCCTATATTCCAAATCTTGGTCAGAAGCGATAGTTTGCCCACCCTACACTAAAGCTTACAGCCTGAGAGACCCTCCTGGCCCTTCCCCTTTCCTTCAAGTCCTCACCAATTTCATGTCTGCAGCACTTCTAAATCTCCCTTCCATTTTGTTTCTCTCTGTGTTGCCTCAGCTCAGCTTCTGTCATGTATTGTCTAGGCTACTCTAGCATCCTGTCCAAGTCTTTTCCTGTGTGCTTCTAAACTTGACCCCTGTGTGCTTTAGGTAGTCTTTATAAATGCAAGCCCGTGCAGATTCCTGCCCTGGAAATTCCAGGGCTCTGTTCTGAGTAGTTTCCATCTCAAAGAAGAGAGGAAAGGAACGCTTGATGGCAGAGAGAGAAACTGTTTCATGCTTTAAGGCAAAAGGTCTTTAAGATCAAGGATAATGTCTTATATACCTTTTTTCTCTCTCAGGAGCTTAGAAATAAAGCATCTGACATATGTCTGGGTGCCCAGTAATGACTGAATGTTGATGTGTACAGCAGAATTGAATTGATAATAATTGGATGCTGGGCTGTTATTCTCCTCTAGGCATAAAATAGTAGACTAAAGAATCCACTGAAGACTTCCAAGTGCACATTTATTAGAGTTGTAGCTAGTTTTTTGTTTGTTTGTTTGTTTTTAGAATAAAGGGATAGTATCTGTTTTTACATACATGTAATTTATGCAGACCCGTTATAAAATATTTTTAGTGCCTAACAATTTCTAGTTAATTACCAAAGGATACAAAAATTAGATATGTATGTTTATACATACAGACACACACACATACATCTATACCCACTTTTAGAAAAAATTTGTTTTCATTGATTTTTTACAGAGAGAGGAAGGGAGAGAGAGATAGAAACATCAATGTGAGAGGAAAACATCGATTGGCTGCCTCCTGCATGCCCCCCACTGGGGATCGAGCCTGCAACCCGGGCGTGTGCCCTGACTGGGAATCAAACAGGGACCTCTCAGTCCATGAGATGATGCCCAGTCCACTGACCACACTGGCTGGGTCATACCCACTTTAAGAGCATAGATTTATGTCAGTACAAAGTGGTGATGAAGGTGATTGCTGTTAATTTCTCTGTGGTTGGTTATGATTTCTGTATAACTACTATCACTCCTCTAGGGTGGAAATAAGATATTAGCGTATTTTAAGTTGAAAAATTATTGGAACATACACTCATGCACACATACATACAGACTATTTTAAAAAACTAAAATGCATTTACATATGAATTAAAATAGAAATACAACTGTTTTTTTTTTTTTTTTCTACTTCAGGACAACATAGATCTTTAGGACCCAAAGATTCCAAGGTTAGAAGTCTAAAAATGGATGCAAGCATTTGGAGTAATGAACTCATCGAGGTAAGTCCGGTTCAACTGGTGGTGAGCAGAGGTCTGGAGGGAGAGGTGCAGGCACGGAGCTTACTCTAGGAGCTCCTTGACAAACTTCTCACCGCACTGTAGAAACGGCTTGCATGCTGTCTCTGCTTTAACTTTCAGAATGCTCTAAATGACATAGTGATTTTAAAAAGCGAAAGGCACAGGGGCTTTAATAGTAATAACTACTGTTAAAGGCTTGACAGCTTTGTCATTAAGACAGAATTTACTTTCTTTTTAACCCAGCATGGATAAAATATTAGAAAAGTGCTGAAAACATTGGGCAAAATTTATCATTCTTTATCTCGGCCATGTTATGTCATTAACTGCGATCATGTCTCACTTGCTGTCTCCCAATTCCATTTTCTGCTCGGCTTCAGCAGCACTCTCAACCACACTAGTCCACCTACTCAGCCATTTTAAATGAATCCGTCTCAATGTGCGCTTCAGAAAATAATCATGCTTTTGCTACAATTTGTGTGGTTTGCCATTTCTTCCCTCGATAATCTTTTACTGTTATTAAGAGCAGCCAGACTGTATTTAAAATAGAAATAGTATCTGCTTTCACACTCCATCTTCCTGAAAGAGTTGGATCTTTCTTGCAGTTTTGCATATTTCATACTAAATTATGCCTTAATTTATAATGTGAGTCAGTTTTCTGCAGATTTAAGTACATTTTAGGAACTGATCTGTTTTATACTTTTTTGATAATTCAGCTTTTTATTGTCATTGGAAACAAAAGAGCAAATGACTTTTGGGTTGCTAATCTTCAAAAAGATGAAGAATTACTCATGGATGCGCCAGTAGAAAAGAGAAAAACCTTCATTACTCAGAAGTACAAAGAAGGAAGATTCAGAAAAACACATCTGGCATCTCTCACCAAGGAAGAATTAAATAAGGTATCCAATAAAACAGAACAATAGACATGGATTTTAATATCTTTTTAAATATGTGCCAAGGATATTGGAAAGAAGTAAAATATATTTTACTCTTTGATAAAACTATTGTTTAACCTTGTTTTGTTTCCTCTTGTGAGATCGTGTCAGTGGTTTCCCATTGTTTCACTTAAAGAGTTGTCATCAATAACAGATGAAACTCTCCGTCCATGAGATTCCAGCTAATCTAGGCATATTCGAATATTCTTTTTTTTTTTAATCCTCACCTGAGGATATTTTTCCATTTTTTGTACAGTTAGAGTGGGAGGGAGAGAGAGGAAGGGAGAGAGAGAGAGAGAGAGAGAGAGAGAGAGAGAGAGAGAAAGAGAAAGAAAGAGAAAGAGAGGGGAAGAGAAGAAGAGAGAGAGGGAGAGAGAAACATTGATGGAAAGGGACACATCAAGTGGCTGCCTCCCGCATGACCCCGACCAAGGCCGGGGACGAATTGCAACTGAGGTATGTGCCCTTGACTGTAATCAAACCCACAAATCATTGGTCCACGGGCCGGCGCTCCAACTGCTGAGCCAGACTGGCCAGGGCATATTCCGCTGTTTTTTTTTTTTTTTTTTTTTTTTTTTTAATCCTCATCCGAGGACATTTTTCCATTTTTTGTACAGACAGAGTGGGAGGGAGAGAGAGGAAGAGAGAGAGAGGGAAACATCGATGTGAAAGGGACACATCGAGTGGCTGCCACCCGCACGACCAACCAGGGCCGGGGACAAACTGCAACCGAGGTACGTGCCCTTAGCGGGAACTGAACCCGGGTCTCTCCGGACCGCAGGCCGACGCTCTAACCGCTGAGCCAAACCGGCCAGGGCTGGCCAGGGCATATTCCAATCTTTTTAAACCTATGACAACTTTCCTTATTTTAGGGACAAGATATTGACTCTAACTTCAGCTCATACATTGCTGACTTGCCATCACCAGAATTAACATCCTTTACTCAGTTTATTGTTACAGGCAATGGTTTGCTAAGTGCCCTTGAGGTGCAGTCATTGGCCTTTGGCTGAGTGATTCCAGGTCTTTTTGTGACCATTTAATGCTGACCACTTGGTCTTCACCCATTTGGCAAAGCATTTGTTAAGCATCTTGCCCTCCTCTCATTTTTAAATTGCTGTTTCCATTTCTTGTGTTAGGAACCGTTCCTGTGCATAGATATTTAAAACGGGTACTTGATTTATTTTCTCCAATTTTTATTAATTTATTTTTGTTATAGATGTTTCTCCTTTTTCCCCCCCTAGATTCCCCCACCCCAGCATTGTTGTCGATGTCCATTGGTTATGCATACATGCATATAAGTTCTTTGGTTCATCTCATCCATCCTCCCTGCCCCCTTCCTCTGAGGTTTGTCAGTCTGAACCATACTCCCTTCTATCTCTCTGGGTCTATTTTGTTCATCAGCCCACCTTGTTCATTATATTCCACAAATAAGTGAGATCATATGGTATTTGTCTTTCTCTGATTGGCTTATTTCACTTAGCATAATACTCTTGAGGTCCCTCCGTGTTGTCTCAAGGATAAGAGATCTTTCTTTCTTACAGCTGCATAGTATTCCATTGTATATATATATACACCACAGCTTTTTAATCCACTCATCTACTGATGGACACTTGGGCTGTTTCCATATCTTAGCTATTGTAAATAGCGCTGCTATGAACATAGGGTTACATATATTCTTTCTGACTGGTGTTTCAGGCTTCTTAGGATATATTTCTAGAAGTGGGATCACTGGGTCAAATGGCAATTTAATTTTTAATTTTTAACTTTTTGAGGTAACACTATACTGTTTTCCATAGTTGCTGCACCAGTCTGCATTCCCACCAGCAGCGTACTAGAGTCCCCTTTTCTCCACATCCTGGCCAGCACTTGTTGTTTGTTGATTTGTTGATGGTGGCCATTCTGGGTGGTGTGAGGTGATAGCTCATCATTGTAAAACGTGTACTTTTAATATACCTACAGTTTTATGCTCAGAGAAATTTTTTTTTGTCCTGGTTCTCCATTCTTTAGTATACTTTCAATGGCAATACTTATTAGACAAGGATCCCGCCCCAATAGTAGCATTATGCTGAACATTTTGGAAAACAAATGCAGACCTTTCCCATACTTCTCTAGATATTATAAGATTTATGCAATTGATTTGAATGTCTTTTCTATGGGTTTGGTTCCCATTAACTAAACGTTTCTTCTTTGTACAGTTTCAGTATTTGTAAGTGAGGCCCCCGTGGATAGTAAAGCAGTGGCTCGATCAGTTCAGGGCGCGCGATGGCGCCTGAGGCGGAGCCTCAGAGAGGCCGGGAGTGGGGGCCGTGTGTTTGTATAGGTTATTATTAAGGCATTTAATTGTGCTTTGGGTAGTGGTTTTTATGAGTGGTAATTATATATTAAAATAACTGACCAATTAATTATACCAGACATGTTTGGAATAATGATGACAGGGCATCGTAAACCAAGGGTTATAATTAATCTAATTCCGTGTACTAGTTTCATAATAAATAAGTATATTAATAACAGGTTGTAGATTTGGGTAAGTAATTGGCGAGATTGGAGAACCAGGGTGTATCTTCCCCCAGTGGTTTCTCTCCTCTTGATGGTGATGGGACTCTTGTCCATGGGTATATCTGATGTCCCGGGTGAAGTCTGCTCTGCCATTCCACGCAGTTCCCCGGAGCTGAGACAGTAGGTGGGTTTTACAATAGTTGCTGGCTATTGCTTTCTTTCTAAGAATATTATAGGGTAGTTCACCTATTAGGATTTACTTCCACTTTAGGCTTCTTAAATGGTGCTGTTAATGTCAGTGAATAATTTTTATAAAAAAATATATTTTATTGAGTAGATACTTTTAAAAATTGATATTATTTATATATAATATTGTGTAAACTTAAGGTGTTCATTTGGTTGATTTGATACATTTACGTATTACAATATGATTGCCACCAGAGCTTTAGCTAACACCTTTATTACATCACGTAATTACTATTTCTTAGTGGTGAGACTGTCAGATCAAATCTCTTACCACTTTTGAAGTGTATAATACAGTATTGTTGACTGTAACCACTGTGCTGTGCATTATATCTCCAGAACGTGTTTACCTACTAGTGGCAAGTTGGTACCTTTAAACAACATCTTCTCACCCACCCCCATTCTCACCCTCACCCCCTGGTAGCCGCCATTCTGGTCTCTGTTTCTATGAATTTGGGTTTTATTCAATTGCCCATGTAAGTGATATTACACAGTATTTGTCTTTGGCTAATCTCACTTAGCATAATGCCCTCAAGGTTCATCCATGCTGTCACACATGGGAGGGTTTCCGTCTTTCTCATTGCTGAAAAATATTCCATCATACAGGCTGGGGCAAACTAGGATTACAGTTGCAAGTACGTGAAACACAGAAACACAGAGTTTATTCTTACTTATTAATTATTGTATTATTTTCCATACGAACAATTGTAAACCTAATTTCCCCTACCCTTTATATACATATCACATCTTTGTCGATTCTTTATTTTTTCTTTATCCTCACCCAGGGACATTTTTGCATTCATCTTCAGATACAATGGGAGGAAGAGAGAGAGAGAGAGAAACATCTATGTGAGAGAGACACATTGACTAGTTGCCACCCGCACAACCCCAACCAGGGCCGGTGACAAACTGCAACCAAGGTATGTGCCCTTAGCGGGAACCGAACCTGGGACTCTGGTCCGCAGGCTGACGTTCTAACCATTGAGCCAGTCCAGCCAGGGCATTATTGATTCTTTTAATGGACACATGTCTTGGGTATTGTGAATTATAATAATGCTGCAATGAATGTGAGAATGCAGTTATCTTTTCAGTATTCTGTTTTCATTTTCTTTGTGTATGTAGTCAGAAGTGGGATTGCTGTATCATATTATTATTGTATTTTTAATTTTTTGAGGCATCTTGATACTGTTTTTCAACGTGGCTGAACTAATTTGTATTCCCACCTGCAGGGCACAAGTGTTCCCTTTTCTTCACAACTTCGTCAGCATTTGTTATTTCTTGTCTTCTTGAATCACAGCCATTCTGACAGGTGTGAGGTGATAGCTCACTGTGGTTCTGATTTGCATTTCCCTGATGATTGGTGATGTTGAACATCTTTTCATGTACCTGTTGTCCATCTGGATGTTGTCTTTGGAAAAATGTCTATTTAGTTTCTCTGCCCATTGTTTAATCGGATTTTTAAAAATTGAGTTGTATGAGTTCTTTATATATTTCTAATATTAACCCCTTATCCAGTATATGGTTTGCAGATACTTTCTCCTATTTTTAGGTTGCCTTTTCATTTTGTTGATTGTTTTGCTCTGCAGAAGCTTTTAAGTTTGGTGTAGTTTTACTTACTCATTTTGTTGCTTTTGTTGCTTGTGTTTTTGGTGTCATATACAAATATCATTGCCACGACCTATGTCAAGCAGATTACCACCTGTCTTCTTCTAGAAGTTTTACAGTATCAGGTTTTATTTTTAATTCTTTAATATATTTCAAGTTATTATTTTTTTTAATCTTCACCAAAGCATATGTTTTCATTGATTGTTAGAGGAAGGGAGAGACAGAAAGAGAGAAAAGAAAGAGAAAACACTGATTTGAGAGGGAAATATCAATTGGTTCCCTCCTGTATGTGCCCCAGCCAGGGATCAAACCTGCAACCCAGGTATGTGCCCTGACTTGGAATTGAACCCGCTACCTTTTTGGTACATGGACATCACTCCAGCCAACTGAACCACCCCGCCAGGGCTCGAGTTAATTTTGTGGATGGTGTAAGATAGGCGTCCAATTTCACTTTTTTGCATGTAGTTATCAGTTTTCCATCTTCGTTTGTTGGAGAGACTATCCTTGCCCCACTGAGAATTCCTAGTGAATAGATATTTATTGCGTACTTGAAACTTGCTGAATTCTCTCAGTGCTGGGGAGATACATTTTGTGGTAAAGTAGCTGTGGTTATTTCATTGTGCGAGTGACTGCAATAGGAGACACTGACCATAAACAGATGAACTTCAGTGAATATTCCATAGTAAATACAGAGTGTTGTGAAGGGAAAGACTCGGGTGACGAGAGAGACAAGAAGAAAAGATACATGTGATTACATTGAGAGGGCAGTCAGAGTAGAAGGGACATTAGCTGTTATATGTTCCAATACCCTCATTTTTCAGGTGTGAAAAAACTAAGACCCAGTGACTCCGGAGAAGGATTGCCCATGATCACCTAGATACTTAGTGCCAAATCAGGTACAAGAATTCAGGCTTCTTGATTCTGAAGTGAAGGAAATTCTGGAGTTCAGCTAGCCCACGGTAGAAGAGATGAGTGCTTTTTAAACCCTCCGGGCTGGAACTGTGAATCCCTCCTGGGGCTTCTAGGCTGCACCCTCTGGGCTGCCCACCAGGATAGCTGATGAGTGATTACCCTGAAGCTGCACTGTGGAAGGCAAGTGAACTAGTGATCAGTCCAGATGCACCTTGTCAGGAAGGAAGTAAATGGTGAGCCTGAGGCTAAAGTCAGATGGAGCCAGGGTGCAAAAGCAGAAGGGTTGGAAGCAAATGGGAAGGCAGTCAAGTGAGGCAGCAGGAAGGATGAGAAGGGATGTAAGGCAACTTATTATCTCAGGGAAAAAAAGGAAATCTGGCTCCAGCCATTCTGTTTGTACAATGATGATGTGTGACATTAGTCGGTAATGTTTTACTGTGTCTGCTTACTATTTCTGCTTCCCATATCACCCTCCCTCCAGAAGGAAAGATTCAGAATTTGGATGCATCTTTCAGATTACCAAAGCACAGCAATAATCGAAAGAGTATACAGATCCCGATTAGACTGGACAGTACATACATACATACATATATACATATGACATTCATATGACAAAACATTCAGTAGCTGCTTCATTATCACATTTGAAATAGATTGAATTTTCTGAGCATCCATCATTATTGTAGTATGTAAGTGTAACCTGGGTCTTCCGAAGCTAATATCCTGGATTGAAGGTGTGGACCATCACAGCAACCAAACAGCGAGTTGAGACTGGGAGGTCTTGGGTTGTAATTTAAATTCATGCAAAGCAGGCCTTCTGTGCCTGTTGCTTAATTCAGGGCATACCGATAATTATATTTCTTAGTTAAAAAGGAGGGCACACTTCATATCATACATGGCAGACTTCCACTCATTTTAGTAGCCAGAATTGTATTTTCTTCCTTTAACAGATCTGTTTTCTTTCAACGACTAGGCTCTGTGTGCTGCTGTGGTGAAGGCGGACGTTCTGGAAACGATGGCTTTGCTCTTTAGTGGAGCGGATGTCATGTGTGCGACCGGAGACCCCGTGCACAGCACCCCCTATCTGCTGGCCAAGAAGGCGGGGCAGAGCCTGCAGATGGAATTTCTGTACCATAACAAGTTCTCAGGTGAGCCCTTCCCCCCTGAGCCTGCTTTCTGCTGCCAGCTCCCCGGCGGACGGCAGCACGGATCTGTCCCTTTCTCGCATGAGAAAAGCCATCAGAAGGAAGAAAAATGTGTAATTACCCAAAAGATGGAACATGCCTAAGAGTACGTTTTATTTCATTTTAAGAAAAAGTTTAGGAAATAAATCTTTTATGTTTCCATAATCTTACAAATGGAAGATTAAAACAGTTAATACGGCATTGACATTTTCACCAAAATTAAATCCGATTTTCATATCCGAATAATAAATACAACTTAAGTGCTTATTTTGCAAGTTTTATTTAGAGTCAAATAAATATCTCTGTATATTTATTCTGTGGTATATTTGAAGTAGTTTTTCTTCTAGCTTAAAGCTCACCTGCATATTCGTAAGCAAAGGTACAACTGTTCACGTTTTAGATTTCAAATGCGTTATTTCTGTCATTTTTCTAGATTTCCCTCAGCATGACGTTCATTCTGAAGGTGGGTTCAGCCCAGAGCCCCCCCAGTGGACGTTCCTCTGTGACTTTCTGTACCAGGCTCCTTCTGCGGCGCCGAAACTCTCTTCAGAGAGAAAACTGCTGGAAGGTATCTTTTCTGCTCCTCTTGGATTTTGTTATCTGATAAAACTGTCTTTCATTATCAAGACAATTAGATTTAAGTTTTGGTATGTTTTTCCCTTAAGATGTTAGATTTGATCTTGTAGTAGAGAAATATATTTCTTTAGGATTTATGAATGCTTCCAGGCACAGATAATAGTTCATGAACTGCAGCAGGGATTTACCGCGGGGTTGGAGTGCTGAGTGAATTCTTAACGGGAGCATGGCTGTCTACCGTAGGGCCCACCAATTCTGTTTCAGGATTTCAGCATTATCCCAAAGGAATGGGAAACTCAGCCCCTTCCCTTAGGGACAGACACCCTGACTGGGGAGATAACATAGTAAACGTCAGCACACAGAAGAACTCACAGGTATTCAGTGCATGTTCTGTCAGCATACTAAGTAATACCAGGTAGCTCAGTTTGTTCTGATGGGTGTGTGTGTAAGTGAAATAAACCTTAAGCATGCTTCTCAAATAATGATGGGAGTTAATTTGATTTACCAACCTGTTCTAGGTTTTGGGAATCATCTGAGTGGAGTCCCTGTGGACAGTTATCCGTCTGGCTCTTTAATAAGTCAGGCATGTGCTAGGTAGGCATTGGGAATGCAAAAATTAAAAAGACACAGGCCACATGCTCATGTTACGAACATTTGATCTAATTTTAGAATTGTAGGCAGGAAAATAGGAGACCTGTCTTCCTGGAACAAAGAGGGCCCAGGAGTTAGTTCTCCAGGTGGTGTAATTGAGCTGTATGAATCCACCAAAGGAACAATAGGATGGAAACTCACTCTAAAGTGTTAATCCGGGTCCTTGTGTGTTTGAAGTGATTATTTCATTATGAATGCTTTATTTCCAAAAAAATTATTCCCCTAAGCAGAATTATATTGGGATTAACTGTACTTCATTAGATTTTTCTGAAAACAGTAGCAATCTTTCCTGAGCGCACACTGAATGTAAGGCATTGCTTTAGGTACTTTACATACATTAATTATAATCCTCATAAAAACCCTGCAAGGCTGTTGATGCTATGCCGGTTTTCACGTGGAAAACGGAGGAGTTCAGCATGAAGCAGAGTTTTACATCCGAGTAGTGTTGTAATTATTATTGTAACACTTGGCGGTGACACTGGGATGGTAGAGCATTTTTATCCTTTGAATTTTGACGTTTTTGGTTCTTTCAGAATTGGTTTTTAATGTCTTCCTTCACTCAACCTAACCAATAATGAATGACGAATATTAGAGATTTTTCTCATTTTCTGTTACTCCTTGTCAGTGTCTAAACTTTCACATAGTCAAACGGTGACGGATTGGAAGGAAGGAGAAAGTACCTGAATGATCTGTGAATTGGCTGTAGCAATTATTAAAATAATTGGATAATAAGGCAATCAATGCACTTGCAAATAAGTTCACAGATTTTCTAGACTGTTTCTCTGAAATAGTAGTAGGTCTTAGACCTACTCTTCAAACCATTATCCGAAGATGAACTAGGGAATTTGAAACAGAAGACTTTCTTTCTGAAGCTTTCCAATATCATAAGCACCCTGCAGGCTGAAAATAAGATTACTTTTTGACAATTGTGGTTATACTATTTATAGACCTGCCAGTTTTACTATTTCCTTGAAATATGTGTTCTTTTATCTTAATCATTTGAGGACTGAATTGATGTTTTAAACTTGTACCTAAATCATTGCTTCCTTTTATCTTTCATAAATTAACTATAGATTTTGCTAAAATTTGTTTTAGAAGACAAACTGGTACATTCTCTGTATGTGCAATTTAATTAGGAATGTTTTCTCACTTTGGAACATTCTCTGTAAAGTAATATGAAATTGAACTTTTGTACATTGGTTGTGTAGCACACAGAAATTATTTTATTGGAAATAATCTCCTGGCAAGGTATTCTTTGATTGTCTTCATTTCTTCCATCCAGTATTTTGGCAAGGTCTATTATTTCAACCTCAAAATGGGTTCTGAATCAGCTGGCTACTCTCCATCAACACGAATGTATTTCTGGCCCCAGTACCGTCATGTCCTGCCTTGGTTGTCACAGCCCCTTATTTGTCTGCCATTATCTACCCTAACTCCCTCCAAACCATTCTCCAAAAATCAGACTCAGTGATCGTTAAAAATGTAAATCAGATCACGTACTTCCCTTGTTCAAGTGCATTTGGCAGCTTCCCATTCCAGAATATAACCCTGTTCCTCATTATGGCCTGAAAGACCTTCTCATACATCCTCCCTCTCATCTCATACTCTTCCTTCCTTTGCTGCATCATGCCTGGCCGCGCTGGCTTCTTGTCTGTGTCAGCACCATGCACGCTCTTGTCTGCCTCTTCTGGACCTGTGCGACTGCTGTTCCCTCTGCAAGGAGGCTCCTTCCCCATTTCGGCTCCTTGTTCTCTTTTGGGGGTCCACTCAGTGCTTTCCTAGTCGGAGGCAGCTTTGGTCCTTGCTGCAGGGGGTGCCCAGCTCCACTGCCTCCTTTACAGTCTGCTGCATGTCCCGTCGTACACTCAGGGCACGGGGGTGGTCCTCCCTCCCGGATGCCTTTCTCTTTCCCGCTGGAGGAAAAGCTCCACGAAGCAGCAGCATGTTCTGGATTATTCAGGTTTATCAAATCTTTGGTGCCTAAAACCATGTCGACACATAGTAGTCACATAATAACTGTTTGTCTAATCATTGACCATTTCTCTTATCACATTACTATCAGTGTACAAGTGCAAGAGACTGGTTAATGTTTTGTTTTCCCCCTGGGGGAAAATATAATTGCTGGTAAAAAACATATTTTGTTCAAAAGGAGCCTACTTAAGAATGAAGAAGAGACAGTCGAACTACCAAGAAGCATCAAGTTGTGATATTTTTGTTTTTTCTCTCGTTGCCCTCAAGGTTCTGTAGTAGCATTATTCCTCTTGTTTATGGAAAAGATGAATTATTTGGGCAGATGGGGAGATTAAAGCGTGGTTGTCACCTTTGCCTCTGAGTGGCGAGCTCCTGGGCTGCACCACTCCATCAGTGCTGGTCCGGATGCCAAAGAGCAGGACGATTAAAAACCACGAGAAAGTCAGGGAAAGAAGTATACGCCGTCCTTCAGAGACTCAGCGGCTTCAGGTTGTCAGTTCAGGTTTCCAGGGTGTGAAGTTCTTCAGGCCTCTGGTTATGAAGACTGATCTGTATTTTTCTTTGTCTTCTCAATTTAGTGTTCATGGAAAGAAAGATTGATCGTTCTTGTTACAGCTGAGTGTAGAGCTGAATAATAGCATCCTGGTTTTGTTTTCTGTTTTTTTTCCCTCAACCGCACTTTGTCCTTTTAGCATCTTACTTTGATTTGTTGGTACCGTGTTTGGTTTTTTAAAAAAAAATCATTGATAGGGCTTACTAGAAACTCTGTGTCATTTATTTATATTTCATTTTATAGAATTGTGTTGAGGAATTTTGATGATCTTTTGTTCCATAAATGCCTAGCCTGTGCAGTTTTATAAAATTTGTACAAGGCTAAAACACATTTTTTTAAATTAATTAATTAATTTATTTATTTATTTATTTATCTGTCTGTTTATTTATTTATGTATTTATTTATTTGTTATGTTGTTAATCCTCATTTCCAATGATTTTTAGATAGAGTGGAAGGGAGAAAGAAAGGGAGAAAGAAACATCGATGTCAGAGAGACACATTGATTTGTTGCCTCCCGCATGAGCCTCATCAGGGCTGGGGATCGAACCTGCAACCTAGAAACATGCTCTTGACCAGGAATTGAACTGGCGACCCTTTGATCTGAGAGCTGATGCTCTACTCACTGAGTCAAACCAGCCAGGGCAAAAAATACATTTATTTTAAATGAAAAGGATTCCTAGTGTGTATTCTTACTTTCAGTGAATGCTGAATACTATCAGTTTAGGAAACTCTTCACCAGGGAATGATTTTATGCTTTCTGAAAATAATAGTTTCATCTTAATTATCTCAGACTCATTGTGCACATACGTATTAGAAGGTATGACCTTCATTCCACCCTAACACATTAAAAACAGACATACGTGCTTCACACGTGTAACAGGCCCAGAGCAGTGGTACGTGGAGTATCAAGACCGCAGCTTCTCAGGCGGACGGCCTGGGTTCTACCTCCAGCTCTGATGCTGAAGCACTCGTGAGGTCTGGGGAACGTCGGTGAGCTGCTTTGTGCCTGTTTACAGGGTACAAGGAAGGGGTGTATCATAGCAGAACTGCCTAATAGGGCTGCTCTAGGATTCAGTGAGTTAATGTACGTACAGTGTGTAGAATGCTTGGCACATAAATGGGATGGTGAGGGGATGGTGAGGAGAAGGAAGAGCAACAGAGGGGCTGCTTCTGGTGTCCAGGTAGCCCTTGAGTCCAGGTATGTCCTACTGGCTCTAAGGGACAACCCAGGTACCCAACTATAGTATTCATATCACTTCACGGTTGAATTTCAGTAGGTCACCTCTGGAGTCCTCTACCTGTGCTCGAGTAAATTTTCTTAATGTTTGTCTTCCCTGATCTAAACATTATGGTGGAATAGAAGGAATGAACAACCCCTCCAGGCCGTCCGACACCACCACATGACCTCTTATCTATGAAACAGTTTGCACTCTGAGCGTCATTCATTTAAAGTGGCCCCAAATTAGTTTCTGGTGGGTAGTTCCTGATAACTGAATAATAGTAAGACTGCTTCTGTAGCCAACAAGGTGTCATGGATGCTACTAACATTTCTCAAGGTCAGAATTTGTAGACCATATCTGAATTGGCCTATGCAGACCGATGCCATCCAACATAATTTTGTTAAAGTTTTTCATTGCTTCCCAAATGAATAGGCATGTCAAGATTTCTTATCACAGCTTTGTTATTATAAATCCTCAAAGGTAATATCTCTGCCTCCCTTGCCTGACCTCTGGTCCATTTTCACTTATAAAAATGAAGCTAATCGAGGGTTATAGTGATGATGATACTGTAGGACTAAATCTCCTTAAGCCCATATTTCTAACTAAAATGAGTTTGTACTCACCTTTTTAAAGAGAGCTGTCATTTGTTTCCCATTAGAATTTGCATAATTAGATTCTGCATTTACATTTATTTTATGCATCATGCGTTTGGCACTTTTTGTTTAAGACCTTCCAAGGGCTCCCACATGTCTACCGAGACAGGTGCACACTCCTGCACACCTGTCAGGTGAGGCTCCCGGGGCCGGCCTGTGCTGTGAGTGCAGTCCTGTTCTCGCGTCCTGACTCTGTGTGTTCGAGTCTCCGGCCGACAGGTTTCCAGCCGTCCCCTCTCCGTGGCTTCCCTCACGCTGTTTCTTCCCGGATTATGGACCGATTGCAGTTCCGAAGGTGTTTTTTGCTACTTTAGAAACATGCCTCTTCAGTCATAAATGACTATTTCAAAAGCAGTTTTTCTGTGAATTTTTTCTTATCACGTTGGACCCAGGGTGGCTTTCCTCCATGAGGGACTCTCACCTGAAAGGGACCACCTGATGGGTGTTATCGCAAACACCACTCTTAGATTGGGTTCCAGACCGCCTGAGCGTGGGGTGGGAGTCCTCAGCCACGCCAGCGATCAGCTGTGTACTTTTGCATGTACATTTTTTGCTTTACTCTTTATGAAGTTATTCTAGGCATTGGAGTACAGTTGTTTCGAAATTATTTCATAACTCCAGTTGATTAGTACTTTGACTTTTTTTTTAATTTTAGAAATCTGAAAATAACTATTTACATATATTTCATCATGTTATCACCGCTGTAGTCCTATGAGTTAGATATTTTTTATCCCCATTTTACAAATGAAGAACCTGAGGCACAGATGGGTAAGCTCTTTTCAGGGGTACCTGGTAGTCAGTGATGGAGGCATTATTAGAACCCGGAGTCTCTGACTTCCAATTCCACCTTCTTAGGGTTCGCACAGTGGTAAAGTTGCCATAGGAGATACTTACCCTGGCCTGGAGAGACGGTCCTAGGGTTGAAGATTCCCAGGAGAGTTTGCGCCTAAGTCCCCGCCCTGGAGAAACTGGGTTGAGTGGGATGGCGTTACAGTTAAATCATCTTCCTCCCTAATGACCTACGTATACCTTCCCAATTCTTATTTTTATTCCCCTTTGTTTCCGAAGAAGAAATGTTCATCCTTGTTTCATTTCAGTAGATGTTTTTGATTGTCTGCCGTTTTCTTTGCCAGAGCCCATACTTTCATGTAAGCTTATGATATCCTTTCCTTTATGGCGTAGGTTATTGACCTGTTCTGACTGGCTCCGCTCTTCCCAGTGAGTCGTCACTGTGCTGCAGTCTGGCTTCCCCAGCACTCTCAGTAAACTAGGCAACTACCTCTTTGTTATGAAGACCATTTGACATTTTCAGCCCTTATTTTATTAGATGTCTTTGCTATATTTAATAGCAGCAATCATTCCTTTTGGAAATGCTCTCTCTCTTTTCTTTGTTACACACTGTCTCTTCTCATTTGCTTCATTGCTTTCATGGACCCCTCTACATCTGTTACAACTTAATTATATATATATATTTTTTTATTAAAGTATAGCTGACAACTCCTTACAATTTTAATTTCCCTAAAATTGTCTCCTGGTTACTTATATTTTCAAATACTACTTACATTCTAAAGACTTTCTCGTCATCGAGCCCTTTGCATGCTCCAAGAGGCCAATCCATAGGTGATCGCCTAAAATATATTTCTGCTTGGATTTCTGAGATACCTCTGATTCAGTGTTCTAAAAGGAAACTCATATGACATGCACTAAAACTGTTTCTACTTTATTTTCTTTTAAATACAGGTGGGTATCTCTATGTCTGCTTTGTAATCAAAGCTAAAAATAGTGGAACAGTAATTAGTTCCCCCTTATTCCCTGCATTCAATCAGTATATGTTTATGTCCTTTGAGCGCAATGCATGTACACATTACTCTCTCTCTCCTCCCCCTCTGTCTCTTCCAATCTTCTTATCCCTGCTCCGCGACCGCTAGCCTACTTTTGGCTATCTTCATCTCTCAGATAGACTTCTGTCAACAGTATCCTAACTGGTCTCCTGCCTCTGGCCTCACCTTCTCAAATCTATTTTTCACAGTAAGCAGAGTGTGTAAAACTCAAAACTGATTATAATCCTCTGCTGAAACCTTTTTTTTTTTTATTATCCTCAACCGAGGACATTTTTTGCATTAATCTTCAGATAGAGTGGGAGGGAGAGAGGGAGGAAGAGAGAGAGAGAAACATCGATGTGAGAGAGACACATCGAGTGGTTGCCACCCATATGACCCCCACTGGGGCCGGGCAAACTGCAACTGAGGTACTGCCTTTAGCAGTAATTGAACCCGCGTCTCTCTGGTCCACGCGCTGATGCTCTACCGCTGAGACAAACCGGCGAGGGCTGCTGAAACCATTTTAATGGCTCACCATCAACTACAAAATAAAAACTCAGCAAACTTCTGAAAAGGGACACATAGTAAATATTTTAAGCATTGTGGGCCAGATACTCTGTGTCACAACTCAGATCTTCCCTGTAGTGGGATCGCAGCCACAGACAATCTATAAATGAGTGGATGTGGCTGTGTTTCAATGAAACTTAATTTACAGAAATAAATGAGGGCCTGGATTTGGCCTTTTGGCCTCCAGGCCAGAGTGCACTCACCTTACAAGATAAAATTTAAGTTCCTAATCCAGGTATTAAGGGACCCTCCTTCCTTTGCACACTTGAGATCAGCCGCAGTGTTACTGTTTACCCTAGACTTTGTCCTTCCTTAGTCTGTGAGAACTCTCTTTACTGTTTCAGGGTTGTTTTGCAGCTGTCCTTTATGTCCTTCACTGGTCATCAATGTCAAGCAGTTTTTGTTTTGCACAGCCCTTGCTACTACATTATAAATATTTTGAGAGCACAGTATGACAACTTTACATCTCGTGAAGCAATACCATGCACTTTCCATGAAATAGAAAATTAACAGATTTGAGTCCAGTCATTTAAACCATGCATTTTTTTAAAGTTAGTGTCGCAATGTAGTTCAATTTATTATTTGTTTTGTTTTAAATTCTTAGAGACAAATAAAAAGTGGTGTGTTTTGGAAGCAGGCTTCTTGAGTTACTATGAAAATGACAAGTCTACCACTCCTAATGGCACCATCAATATCAGTGAAGTCGTCTGCCTGGCTGTGCACAAAGAGGACTTCTGTTTGAACACCGGGTAGGTCTCTAAACAGCAGCAGGTGAAAGTGTTTTCTGATATTCATCATAGCATGTCATAAGAGTTTTGTTAGTTCAGTTCTTCAGTGGCTTATTTTGGGAGGGGTTTAATAGTTACTTGAAACCTACTCATTTTGTAGCTTGTGAAAGTTTCTTAGGAATTCACTAAAAAGTGAACATTAAAATGTTATAGCAGGTAATATGAAAGGCTTCTATGTTTGCATCGAATCTTAAGTAAATTTATAGGATTTCAGTATTTCATTCTTAAACATGTTGTCCTAGAATTAAAAATCATTTTAATCCTCACCTGAGGGTGTTTTTTTTATTGTTTTTAGAGAAGAGAGAGAGAGAGAAAGAGAGACATCAGTGTGAAAGAGACACATCTATTGGTTGCCTCCCACACGTGCCCTGACTGAGGCCTGGGATCAGACCTGCAACCCAGATACTTGTCCTTGACCGGGAATCGAACCTGAGAGAGATCCATGTATGTGCGGGTAGATGCTCTGACCGCTGAGAAACACCAGCCAGGACATAGTCCTATAATTTTAATGACTTACTTATTTCAAATAATGGACTAACGGCAAACTTTATGCATTCATGTCACCATGGTTCAATTAGATGACAAAGGAAAATATCCATTGATGACTTATTCATGGTAATATAAACAACACACTAAGTATATTTAATAACTCATGGAAGTGCTGCATTTCTCATCTCAAAAACGTTTCAATTCAAAGAGTAAGCATTATTTCTTCAATATATTGTCCCACAAATAGTTTAATAGAATTTTATGAGGATTTTAGAAACATAGTGTCAAAAATCTTTGATGTAGAAGTTTCTTATCACATTTTGTGGTGAAATTAATGGGAAAAAAATACAAATAACAAATTTGCAAAAGTAAGTTATATAAGAGCATAGTATTTAATAAAAATGTTATATAAGAAAGCGAAGATATTTGCAAAGCTTTGTTAATTACATAAGATTTCATGGAACATTATTATGTGATGATCCATATATTCTAGTCAAAATGACTGTTGTTTCCTGGTAAATCTAATTTGATTTTTTTAATGCAAACAAAATTAATTATTGATTTGTTTTTATTTTAATCATAACAGCGCTTCTGTCTTAAATGAAATATCAATTTTTTTATGACTTACTGTGGAATGTTAAAATAAGTTCATTCAATGCATTGTGTTATTTAATTAGTAAATAGAATTTCAAATAATATTAGTTTGTGTCAGCATAAAATTATAAAAATAAAGCGTTCGTGGTGGAATGATACTAATGTAAGTAGATGTGCAGGAGAAAGCATCTACAGAGAGATGCAGTTAAACAGAATCGTTGTCGCAGCCGGATTCTGAGTTGCCTTAAATAGCACATTATAGAGTCTGAACGCAGTAATGAAGGCACTGAGGAGTTAGGCAGTTTGGGGAAGAAAGCTGGATATACCGGTAAGGAAGAGTTTGGGGGAAGAGACCCTACTTACCAAGAGCCTCACCAGAGGAAGAGATGATTTAAAAAGTGGGTGGTGAGAGAATGTTACGGTTGATCTGATAAGATTAAATGTCTGGCTAACTGGATGAAAAGCCAACCTAAAGGGGAAGAATAAATTAAACATTGTGGACTTGAGCTTGTTAATGAGATGAGGTAGGTGGTGGTGCCTCTAAAATGTACTACATCTGGGGTAAAAAGGAGGAAGGAAGATACCTGTATGATACAGGGTATTCTGAGGGCTTTTTTAGGTAATGGCAGCATACATACTTAGCATGTTCCACAAAATGGTTGAAGCTGTAGATGAAGAACAGAGGGAAGAATTCAGGACAAGGGATGTTACTCTAATTTTATTGACTGCAAGGAGCTGAAAGTTTGGAATAAGATGCGATGGAGGAAGGAACCTTAATGAAGTGAGACAAGAAGAGAACTGTTCGGACAGTGTTTGCTTTGAACGGTTTGGTCAGAGTGAATCAAGGAGGCGTGGTCTGAGATGGAAGATAACACCAAAGACAGCCCTGTGCCCACGAGCCAGCTGAGGAGTGTCCAGGCCATCAGCAAAGGGGTGCAGCAGCGCGGGGAGCAGTCAGGAGACTGCTCCTTCTGTGAGAGCCAGTGTGCTCCGTTTCCCTCATTTGGATAAGACACAAGCCATCAGCAGAAAAATACGAGTCACAGCGCCATCTAGTTTTCAGAATGAATTTAATTTAAAAACTTGAACTTCACGTGATTTGTTTTCGTAAGAGCCAAACATAACCAGTGGTGTCTTTCTTTTATTCACGTGTGCCGCAGGCCCATCTTCACCTTTGAGATCTATTTGCCCTCAGAACGTGCGTTTTTATTTGGAGCTGAAACATCTCAAGCCCAAAGAAAATGGACAGAGGCAATAGCTAAGGTACTTAAATATTGTATGATTACCCTAAATCCAGAGAAGTTTCTCAACTTGGGGATTGTGGTTGAGCTTTATTTTTTTTTTTATTTTATTTTTTTTTATCCTCACCTGAGGACATTTTTCCATTTTTTGTACAGACAGAGTGGGAGGGAGAGAGAGGAAGAGAGAGAGAGGGAAACATCGATGTGAAAGGGACACATCGAGTGGCTGCCACCCACACGACCAACCAGGGCCGGGGACAAACTGCAACCGAGGTACATGCCCTTAGCGGGAACCGAACCCGGGTCTCTCCGGACCGCAGGCGGATGCTCTAACCACTGAGCCAAACCGGCCAGGGCTGTGGTTGAGCTTTAGGCCCAGAAAAATTGTATGCAAGGTTCTGGGAAGAATGTCCATGCTTCATTAGGTTTTCAAAGGTTGCAATCAGAAGGGTGCAGAGCTATCTTCCTAAAGCCGTACACAGAGAAGAAATTAATATAGGACGTTGGGGAAATCATTCTTCAAATAAAGGTCATGTTTTGATGAATAAGATTTTTTTTTCAATATTGGAAGGCATGTTTGTGTATGTCTTTTTATGGGTAGGTATCTTATTCCTGGAGTACACAAAGGGGAAGTGGACAGATTTAGTGAAAGATGCAAATGAAGACAGTGAAGGTTGATGTTATGGAAAGTGCCACACCTCAACAGAGAGAATGTCTTCCTCTTTCTCTACATATCAAGAAAGATGGCTTAGGATGCTGCCACTTGAAAATGCTTTATTAGCTGTTCAATTTTAAGATTAATAGCAAGTTTAACAAATTATTTTGAAATTTAAGTTACGTCTAAATCTTTTAAGATAGAGATAATTTTACCACTCTCCCTCATAACTATAGATAAGGAAAGGATTTCTGATTTTCACTGTCTTTCCTGCTTTTCTGTATTTGTTTTAACAGCGTTTTGTTCCCTTTGTTGCTGAGAACTTAACAAAACCTGACTACGATTTGATTGGTCAACTGTACTACAAAGACTGCCATGCCCTGGATGTGTGGAGAAAGGGCTGGTTTGCTATGGACAAGTCTAGTTTGCGCTTTTGCCTCCAAATGCAAGAACTTCAGGAAGATAGAATGAACTTAAGAAGACTGCAAGAGCTAAGTAAGATTTCTCCCATCATCTTATATTTTTGGACACAGTTTTCTTCTTTTTTGTTTTTAATCCTCACCTGAGGATATTTCTCCATTTATCTTCCGTTAGAGTGGGAGGGAGGGAGAGAGAGGGAGACAGAGAGAAACATTTATGCGAGAGGGACACATTGACTGGCTGCCTCCCACACGACCCAGCCAGGGCTGGGGATGAACCACAACCAAGGTAGGCACCCTTGACTGGAATCGAACCTGCAACTCATTGGTCTACAGGCTGGCGCTCCAACCGCTGAGCCAAATCAGCCAGGGCTGGACACAATTTTTTATTGCATGTGGTAATGGCAGCTTTTACATAAAATTATAAGGGCTCCATCCCAGATATATGACAAAGGAGTATTTTTTTTTTTTTTTTTTAATCCTCACTCGATATTTTTCTATTTTTTGTACAGATAGAGTGGGAGGGAGAGAGAGGAAGGGAGAGAGAGAGAGAAACATCGACGTGAAGGGACACATCGAGTGGCTGCCACCTGCACGACCAACCAGGGCCGGGGACAAACTGCAACCGAAGTACGTGCCCTTAGCGGGAACCGAACCCGGGTCTCTCCGGACCGCAGGCCGACGCTCTAACCGCTGAGCCAAACTGGCCACGGCGACAAAGGAGTATTAATGGTTGTGTCTGGTGGGTACTTAGTGGTAGTTAATAAGATGTTCTTAAGAAATGTATTGATACTTTTCTCTTCTTTCTTTAGCAATCAGCACAATGATCCAAAATGGGGAAAAAGTGGATATCTTGCTCTTGGTAGAAAAAGGGAGGTAAGTGCATTTTTGTCTCTGACTATTGTAGTAACTCTAGGGAGTGGGATATTTTGTTGTCTTCTTGCGGGAGAACCCATGATTTTATAGCCTGCTAGGAATTTTCTGAATTGTGCGTGTGTGTCTGTCTGTATGTGTGTATATGTATATATTGATACCCTCGTAGGTAGAAAGAGTACATGGATGATGCTTGCCTATTTTTATATGTGTTACACGAAAGTATGATCAATTATTGTAATTTTTTATAGAATTAGATCCCTTTAGGACATTGACATTTAAGTATTTGGAAGCACTTTGATAGTTGTGAATATATCTTTAGTGTAGATACATGAGGAATAAGTAATATCCTGAGTTATTTTTGCATGTGAGTCATACGTAGTAGTTCATTCACTTTTTCAGTAAATGCGAATTGTCTGTGCGTCAGGTACCATTATGGCTATTGAGGGTACAGCCACGAAGAGCACAGACGTGGCCCTGCCTCACAAAGCACAGTGATGGGGGCAGAGGAGAAGCAGAAAAAAGTTACATAGCATGTGTCCCTCACTTTTTACTGGCTTAAAGAAAGAGAGAGGCTGTTGGAGCATATTGTTTTAGACGGGGGAAAGGGACAGTCTCTCTGATCAGAGATCTGCATGAAGTGAGGAGGCAAACCACGCCGCTATCTTAACAGTGTTCCAGGCATAGACCAAGGATATTGTCCAGACTCTAAGAGTGTGTTGTTCTTGGCATCAGGGTCTGCAAGGAAGCTGCTGTGGCTGGGGAGATTTTAATGAGGGGGAGAGTGGGAAGAAATGATTTCAGTGATATCCCTGGGCCAGATGCTATAGGGCCTTACAGGTCATGATATGTAAAGATTTGAATTTTATTCTCAGAATGATGGGAAGCTGCTCAGTTTGAGAGCTGGGAAGTGGAATGATCTGACATGTTTTTAAAGGACTGCTCTGACTCCAGACGAATAGGCTTTTGGGGACAAGGGTAAAAGTGAGCGTCCAGTTAGGGTGCTGCCGCAGAGGCCAAGCAGGAGGTGACTTGCCTAACAGCATGGTGCTGAGAGTGCTTGGATGTATCGTGAAGCTAGAGGTGAGAAGATCTGTTGATGGTGAGTGTCAGAGTCAAGGATGACCCTAAAGCTTTTGGCCTGAGCAGTTAATTGCATGAATGATGTCCTGTTTTTTCAGATAAGAAATACAGGAGAGTAGAGTAGAGGTTGGCTGCTAGTAAGTTAGTGATAGTAGTAGATCAAGAATTTGGTTTTGGAAATGCTAACTTTTTTGTTGTTGTTAATCCTCACCAAGGATATTTTTCCATTGAATTCTTTTTTTTTTTAAAGATAGAATAGAAGGGAAGGTAGGAGGGAGAGAGAGAGAGAGAGAGAGAGAGAGAGAGAGAGAGAGATCAATCGGTTGCCTCCCGCATGACTTGGACTGGGGCCGAGATCAAACCTGCAACCCAGGTACGTGCCCTTGACCAAGAATCAAACCTGAGACCCTTTGGTCTGCAGGCCGACGCTCTATCTGCTGACCCAAACCATCTAGGGCTAGGTCGTATTATATTACTAAAGTACTAGCACAAATGCAATTTTTATAGTCATCTATTACTTTTATGAACTGTCTGCTACCTGCATGGCAGGAAAAAATGGTCAGTAGTACAGATACGGTGTCTGAGCTCACAGAGCTTATTTTTTTTAAACAAACAAATAAGCAGCAACTTGCTAGTTGAATTTATTGTATTTATCATTTATACACATTTTCAGTTTACTATAGCCAAGGTGTTTTTCTACCATTTTCAGTCTAAGAAGGATTTGACCAGTGGTACACAGGTTTTCATTAAAATACAGCAAACAGGGATTAGAATTCCTCAATATAATGAATTTTTATTTGGTGCTTATTGTTGCAGGCAGTGCACCCTGTCAGGGATGCAAGCTGGGGGAGCTGGAGGACTAAATGTTTTGCTACTTTGTAACATCTTAACTTCTTCCCTGGACTCTAAGAAGCAAGAGTATATCGGTTCAGAGTATACTTGAGTTTACAGAATAGTTGAAAACTAAGGGAATTCCAAAGTAATGGTCAAAGCTACTTAATCATGTTTTTGATAATAATTTCAAAGTTTTTATATACGTGTTAGTAACAAGTTATGCTGAAAGCATATTTACAAAAGTGAAGAACAGGGAAGGCACCAGGATGGGAGTAGGAAAAATGCAGGTCATAGATATATGACCTCGTTATGTTCCTTTAATGTCTTTGAATAGCTGCCATGCAAAAGGCACCATTCTAAAACAACTATTTATCACACGTTTATATCTTGATTTTTTTCCTGCTTTCCGCAAATCAATAATATTCTGAATAGCAATAATACATTGATGAGAATTTGGATGTACCAGATACTATTTTAAGCATTTAAACAGCCTTCCAGTGCCTCCGTGATATTGAAGAGGACAATCTATTTTGAAATCAAGGAAGTTAACTGGCAACTTAACCTAAAGCAGCAGTTCTCAACCTGTGGGTCGCGACCCCTTTGGGGGTTGAACGACCCTTTCACAGGGGTCGTCTAAGACCATCGGAAAACACATATTTCTGATGGTCTTAGGAACTGAGACACCGCTCCTCTATCGTCTCCAGGTGGGTCCGCCCACATGCAGATATGCCCACATACAGCATGAGGAACTGTATTAAAGGGTCGTGGCATTAGGGAGGTTGAGAACCACTGGTCTAAAGATTTTATTTTTTGTTTATAAAGCAAGTGCTAAGTGTTCATTTATCAATACTTTTGTACAGGTCATTCTCAAGAATTAGATCAACCTAGGTAACCAGAACCTGAATAAACAATATGTTACTGGAATTTAAAACTTCAGCGTTTTGTTAGAAAATAAAATTTTTAACAGAGAAATTTGAAAGTTATTTATTAGGAAAAAATATGTATCCATACAATGCTTACCTAATTAAAGATGAATCAGAATGAAGACAGGTCAGAGTGTGAATAAAGGGTCAGCAGCCTGTGAGATAGTAAGTAACACTGGATTATAACCCTACAGGACAAAGCGCATGAAGGTGTTCCAGCCCACGGCACCTTGAGTGGTAAAAATAGGGCCTCCGATGTGTTTGTCTGTGTATTTACATACATATATGTGTTTAGGCATATACATATATTATGTAAACAAGTGGATTTGAAATAGGTAATAGTGGGAAAAGAGCAGGTTTGGGAGACAACTTGGGAGATAATGAGTGTGATTTTAGAAGTGCTGAACCTGAGGTGCTTATAGACATCTAAGGAGAGAGTTGTGTATATGGATCTGATGTTTATGGGGCGGAGATATTAGGTTTTGGAGTTACCCATATATAGAAGGAAGAAGATGAAATCACGTAGGGAGAGTGTCAGAGTGAGAAAGGAGGGGTAACATCACTTTGAAGGTGAGGGCAGCTGTCAGGAGGAGGAGCCATCCTGGGATATTAAGCTAGTTACCCAGGGAGTGAATCCAGAAAACAAGAGAGTGTGTGTCACAAAACCTAGACAGAGAGGGTCAAGAAGGGAGGAATAGTCCGAAGTGTCCAGTGCTGCCTGAGGAGGACAGAGAGACAGACCCCGCCAGCAAGTGGTGCAGACCCCACCCACCGACTTCCAGGCGAGCAGAAGTGAGAGGGCAGAAACGGGATTAGGTGAAGGCTGGGAACTGAGCGAGCTGGACAGTTGGTGAGGATGGTTTGTCAGGGATGTCCGGAGTATGACAGGATTGTCCAGGTAGAAGGGATTTATTTGATCCAGAAAGGGAATGTGTGTGCAATTTGTTTTCAGATTGCTTGAACTTATGCAAATTTAAAAAAAAAGACATAACACCTGCCAGAATGGCTGCCATCAACAAATCATCAAACAAAAAGTGCTGGTGAGGGTGTGGAGAAAAGGGGACTCCAGTACACTGCTGTTGAGAATGCAGACTGGTGCAGCCACTATGGAAAACACTATGGTGTTTCCTCAAAAACTTAAAAATGGAATTGCCATTTGAACCAGTGATCCCACTTCTAGGAATATATCCTAAGCCTGAAACACCACTGTTTACAATCGCTAAGATCTGGAAACAGCCCAAGTGTCCATCAATAGATGAAGTGGATTAAAAAGCTGTGGTACATATACGCAATGGAATACTATGTAGCTGTAAGAAAGATATGGAGGGACCTGAGAGTATTATGCTAAGCGAAATAAGTCAATCAGAGAAAGACAAAAATCACGTGATCTCACTTATTTGTGGAATATAATGAATAAGGTGGGCTGATGAACAAAATAGACCCAGAGACATAGAGAAGAGTATGGTTCAGACTGACAAACCTCAGAGTAGGGGGACAGAGGAATGGATGAGATGAACCAAAGAACTTATATGCATGTATGCATAACCAATGGACATAGACAACAGTGTTGGGGTGGTGGCTGGATGGGGAGGAGGGTGTCTGGGGGGGGGGGGGAAAGGAGAAACACCTGTAACAAAAATAAATTAATAAAAGTTGGAAAAAAATAAAAGAAGACATAAAAAAGGAGAGATTGATTCAACAATTTAGAATTTTCAAACATGAATGCATATGAAAATTTTAATTTACGAAAGTCTAGGTTTATTCAGTAGTGTGCCAATATTTTGTTACAGGATTACATATAAATTTGTTAGCCACCAAAGAGCAGTCCCCCCCCCCAAATAGCAGTCCCAATAAGTTGAAACAACTTTTCCACAAAAAGCAAAATCAGTTTATATATATATTTAGTTTTGAGGGATGATGGTTTTCAAGTTTAGAAGGGCCATAGCCAAAAATTTCAAAAAAGTTTGCAATTCATATATTTGTCTCAAAATAAATGATTTCTAATATTGTGACCTTAACTCAAGTCCATTAGGTCCTCGCTCATATGGCCAGAACAGAGTTTGTTTTTGTCTTGCCCAATCTTTGAAACAATAGAGATGAGACTGATGTTTAATAATTATAGTTTCAGAAATAAAGCTTATTCTTTGTTGGTTAAAATTGTAT